TCTTTACCTCCCCCATCTCTGTCTCTGTCTGTATCTGTCTCTCTTTTATCTTCTCTCTCTGCACTGGGAGTGGAGTCCAGGGCGCGCTAGGCAGGTTCTCTGAGAGCTGTTTCCCTATCCCTAAGCTGCTGTTTTTGCTAAAGGATATTGCGCATGGAAGAGATTGTGAGGATTATTCTTTTCCCATTTACAACAGGTCACCTCTAAAACTTACCTGCTGTAACATCGTCCAGAAGAAGTGCTTTGGTGCTTCTTTTCTAGCCAGGTGGTGGTGAATGATTTTAGTGGATCCTTCACTCACGAGGCAGGTGAAAATTACTGATTTTCTGGTCAGAATTTCTGTTTCCAAAGGGACTTTGCCCCAGCAGTGGGAGTGGACCCTGAGAAAGTGTCCAGCAACTTGTGACATCAGTGGCAGTATAACCACAAATTCATTCATTCATTTTTCATTCATAAACCCCATGCTGAGCACCTGGCAGACACCAGGGTGTTGGAGACACAGCCCTAACCAAGTGGCAGTCTAATACAGCCTAGCAGATATACAGGCGTTTGGGACTTGGACCACCTCTGTTCAGGGTTGGGTTCTACCACTCACTGACCTAGGCGAGTTATTTCTCTCCTTTACTCAGTTTCTTCATCTGTAAAATAGAAATGATCACATCTTCCTGGGGCGAGAATTAATAGATCTGAGTTCATATAGATAAAGTCCAGCAGTGTCTGAAATACCAAGTCCCTGACTTAACGAATATTCCAGTTGCGAACATTCATGGATATGAAGGGACCTCAAATTATAAACTTTCTTAGATGCTAACAAATCGTGGAAGTAACTCACATGTCTGCAGGACACTTAACAGTTGTGCTGCTGTTTGCTTACTACACAATGCAGTAGTGTACAGTAGTACGGTGCTCTATCAGAGCCAGGATGTCCAGAAGCAAGAGGAAAAGCAGTGGTGATATGGAGGGGACTGCTAGGAAGTGCAAAGCAATATACACTGTATATTTGTATTAAAGGCGTTTAAGATTCACTTTGTCAGACTCAGGAAGGAATCTGACTTATGAATGTTCTCCTGGAACAGAACTTGTTAGTCGGGACTTACTGTACTCAGAAGGTGCTGGAAAATGGCTCCTCCTCCTCCTCTTCATTGTCACTTTTGCCCAAGAGAATCTCTTAGAGAAGCTTAGTGATGCAGGAATTTGGTCCAGGTGAAAGTTTCTCTACAAAGGATGGCACCTGTAAAGGAGTGGCTGTTCCTCCCGCCATTCTACCCTGCCACCCCGGCAGCCTGACTGCTATACTCAGCCTCAGCTCTCCCCTCTGGGTGACCTGGAGCTGTCTCTGTTCAGCTTCAGGGCCTGATGAGGGCAAAGGCTGGTGAGGCCACACACACCTGAGAATATCTCATTCTGCCTGGTACCAGGAGACTTCAGACTTGTAGAAGGAATTTTAATATCCAGTGTCAAAGCCTAAAGTGTTTTTTGACAAAAGCATCATCAGTTGCTAGAGGCCACCGCACTATCCCTGGGTCCTTAAGCGGGTCCTTCAAACTCTCTGAGCCCACTTTCTCATTTATCAAACAGCAAAAATAAATACCTATTACATAGTTTTGTTTTGCCTTTTTGTTTGTTTATTTTTGGTACCGGGGATTGAACTTGGGACCCTGTGCTTTCGAGGCAGGCAGCAGAACCACTGAGCTAAATCCCCAGCTCCATAGTTTTATTTTTAGCTGATGGTCTTTCCAAAGCACTTTGCATAGTGCTCACTGCAGACACACAATAGGGTGTTTAATTAATGTCAACCTATTTCATGTCCTAATAATAATAATTCTCAGAAAATGTAAGGTAAAAGATGATGCGGTTTTTTTATGCAATGGAGTACTACCCTTCCATAAAGAAGGATAAGCTTGAGACATTTCTAGCTAAATGGATGCACCCTGAGACCATGCTCTTAAGTGAAATAAATCAGACACACATTTTTAAGTACCACATTGTTTCTCTGGTGTGGGAAGCTGAAAGTGTAAATAAGGTCCAACATGTATAGTAGATATTGGGAAATGAAAAGGAAATGTTCAAGTGAGAAGGGGAACAAGAAAGGAGGGAGGGGGAAAGGAAGGAAGGGACAAGAAAAAAGGGAAAAATGGAAACAAAGCTTTTGTAAATAAGGTAAAGAGGGGTTGAAGGAAAGGGAGGGAAATGGGAAAAAAAAAGCAAGATATATCATGTACAGGTACAAATTCCCTATGATGAATGTTATCAATATGTACATCTAAAATGTACCAATAAAAAAAGAAAACGTGAGGTAAAAACTACCCCTAATAGGGCCGGAGATTTAGCTCAGTGGTTTCGCTGCCTGCTACGTAAGGACCTGAGTTCGATCCCCGTTACCAAAAAAAAAAAAAACACACAAAAAAAAACTACCCTTAAGATTTCTTCTGTAGTGCCTTAGAGATATGAAGTTGTGAACCTCCCATTACCCCAATAGGACAAAGAAGCATTATGATGACCGGAGAGCCACTGAGGCCCAGAGAAGCTTAGCTACCATAGCAGAGTCACCCAGCAAACCAGGCTTGCAGTGGGGAGATAAGGAAACCAAACTGGCTTTCAGTCCTGTGTTCTTTGATACTCTGATAATTATTCCTTCAGCAAAGAGTTATGAGCAATCACCAATACACAGCTGAGAGCCTGTCTTCTGGAAGATTCTAGTCTGATAGGAAAAATGAAACTTGTACATGATTATGGAAAGAGATAAAATAAAAATCTCCTGCCTGTTAGAGGGGTGCAGAGTTATTCATTTTCTCATTCCAGGAAGCACTGTGCCAGGCTGTGGAGCAGTGGTTCCCAATCGGGGATGATTTTATCCCTCAGGGGAGCCATGTCTGAAAGCATTTTTGGTTGCGTCAACTAGAGAGATGCTATTGGCATCTAGTGGGTAGAGGCCAGGGATGTTTCTAAATCTTCTATGATGCACAGGACAGGTCTGTACCACAAATCATCTTATCCAGGAAGCCTGTGGTGCTGAGGGGAATAGAAGTGGCCAAGCAGACACAGCCCTGCCCTTTGGAAGTGCCCAGTCTGGTAGGCAATCAGGCATTACAGAGTGATTGCATAGTAATCATGATGGTGTGATCGGCTGTAATCGTCTTGTGAGCTAAGAAGGGAAAGTGCAAAGTGCAGGAAGGATGCAGGCTTTGCACTCCTTTAAGGGATGGCATGGCTGTGGAGGTTTTTCTAGCTCAAGGCACAACCCAGGCTCTCTTTCAGAGGTAGACACCAGAAGGTGTGTCACGGGCAGGGCAAGCTGCTAGGCACCTGGTGTAAGTCTGGGAGACAGTGGAACAGACCCAGGATCGAGACACCCAGGGAGCAGCCTCCGGAGGTGGGGAGAAGTTAAGAGGAGGCAGATGCTCCTGTCTATGCAGTTTGGGAGAACTACACCTCCCAACATGCTATGCTCTGGGGGCCTGAGCAGAGGTCAGATGGGTGGGTGGAGGACCTAGACCTGGGTACTGTCCTGGAATGAGGCCCAGCCTCTCCCCCTTCTTCCATTTGCATCCCTCTGGTAGGTGAGAAAGAGATGCAGAAAAAAGAGAGAGGAAGAACAATATTTTCATTTCAAATACAGGAGTGGGAGAGGTAGAAAAGAATCCAGTTTATGATACCTTTGAGATAAGCACAGAAAATTCCCACTGTGGCCCCAAATAGCACTAAAAACAGAACTTTTTGCCAAATCAGACTTAATTGAGCAACTCTCTTCTTGATTCTAGCAGGATGTGGATGGAGCTGGCTTGTTTCCTTGGGGTGATGGTGTCCCCTGGGGCCCTGCCCTGGCAAATTAAACCGAGAGGCCTTGGCCTCCTGAGCAGAACAGGAGCCCTGAGAGCTTAGCGTGACAGCCCATGGCCTCTGCCTGAGATTTCCAGAGGGCCAGAGATGGTGACAGGGGAGTGCCTGGTGAAAGCAAAGGTAGGACAGGCTTGGTTCCTCTAATAAGTGAGTATCTGTCTCTGGATACTGAAAGGGATCATGGAGAAAAGCCATCATTTAATGAGTACCTGCTGTTGGGCCAGGCATTGGGTGGCCCTCCCTAAATCTTATTAACTGCTCTGTATAGCTTATCAAGGAAACGGAAGCTCAGAGAGGTTAAGTGACCTGCCTAGGGTTACACAGCAACCAAATGGCAAAGCCGATTTGGAGATTACATCTGTGGGGCTCCAAAATGGCTGTGCCTGCTGCCCACTTTTCTTCATGATAATCAGTCATCCATTTAGGAGATAATTAAGACTGTGACCAGGCCCGGGATTTAGCTCATCAGTGCTGCCGCCTGCCTCGAAAGCGAAAGGTCCCGAGTTCGATTCCCAGTACCAAAGAAAAGACTGACCTAGTGGGAAGTTTTTTTAAGGCTTGGAGTTAACCATAAGCTTGAATTCTTTTTTTTTTTTTTCCAGTACCAAAGATCAAACTCAGGACCTTGTGCTTGCAAGGCAGTGTTGGCACCACTGAGCTAAATCCCATAAGCTTGAATTCTGACAGAGACAGTGTTTGTTTCTGTAGCTTTCCCTCTTGGAGCCTCCTGTTTCCTTATCTGTCAAGTGGGCATAATCATCCCTTCATCCTGGAGTGGCAGTAGGGGTTAAACTCAGCATTGAAGGGGATGGGAGGGGAAGAAGGGAACCCCAGGGAGGTGAGGACCTGCCCTGGGCCACCCAGTGTGACAAGATTAGGTGAGAGAGCTCTGGGAGAGGGAGCCAGGCCAGGTTACTGTATCTCTGTACCATATCAATGTTGAGTTTCTTTATTTGAACAGGGAGAGAGGGCAGCTTCGCTCTGCAGGTAGAGAAGGTGATGTGGAATGCGGGTGTTTATTTTTCTTTGCTTGTGAAAGCTCTGCTTCATCTCAGATGGACTCTGCAGGGCTTCCTGAGACACTTCAATAGGTGTTCGCCACGCAGGGGGACCTGTCCAGGTGCCTGCCCAGATTGGTGCCCTCCTACTGAGTGGGGCCCCCAGGATAGCCCAGAGTCCCCAGAAAGAGTAAAGGGTAGGGAGCCCTGCAGCCTGGGCCCTCTTGGTCCCAATCATCTCCTTAAACTCCTAACTCCTGGCAGCCTTGGGTTGCTGGGAAGGCAAGGGCAGCCTTCCTGATTGACAAACAAAACAAGCGTTGCTCACAAAAGGATCAGGGAGGCTGGCTGGGCTTCTCTTCCCCTCCCCCTTCCCCAGGCATCTCTGCTGCTCCACCCAGCTGGCACCTACATTCTGAGACAGTGGAAGAGCTCTTAGCCAATGTGGTGGATCAGGCCACCTGGGTAGGAGCCCCTTGCCCTGGGAAGGTGGATTCAAGAAACGGTAGAGTGGCCAGGAGGCAGGGCTTGCTGCAGTGGTCGCCCCTCCTTCCCATCAGCTAGCTGGGCAGGCTGCTTGGAGAGGAAGCCCCAGCCGGCAGGTATGGGAGAAAGACATCGGATCCAGAGGGAAAAGCAGAGAAAGCAAACAAACAGGGCTTTGTGTGGCTGCAGATTGGCGGCTCAGAAGGGAAGCCAGGCCTGGGGGGGGGGGGGCTCACGCAATGCGCTGGGCCTGAGACAGGCGGCTGGGCGGCCAGGAAGCAGGGAGTGCCACTATGTGCGACAGGCGTCTGGAGTCACAGCGGTCAGGGGCCAAGTCTCAGCGCTGCCACTTCAGTCCTTCAACAGATCTAGGCTTGTTTGCCCACCTGATCTGAGCAGTCACTCACATGTAGGACTCTGTCAGGCACCAGTCAGGGTGCCTGTTTCCCTGTCGTGCTGGAAATATGTAAGAGGGAATCAGTCTCCCTGGGGAGTTCAGCCTCCTTGGTTCTCTTGGGAGGGCAGGGACTTTTACTCAGCCCTGGGGGTACTTTGGGGCTTCGATGGGAGAGGCAGCCACGCTGAGGTTGGCCTCTCGGGCCCCAAGCCTGGGAGCTAAACTGCCCACTTAAACTGGTGGAGGCGCACTAGGTTAGGGGTACAGAGAGAACCAGGAAGACGGCTTGGGGGGGGGGGTGTTCTTTTGGATTAATGTATATTATACATGGGGGGGCAACCCCTCCCGGCCCATCTCTTTGGGGGCTGAGGAGGCCACGCCTCCTGGAAGGCTAACGCTGGAGGTCTCGGGTTAGACACGCGGGCAGCTCCGCGATCGCCTCCGGGGCCATTTCCTTTCCTCGCCCCGACGTCGAGTGGGGGCGGTGGGAGGGCAAGCACCCACACTTCCTGTCCACCCTACCCCTCCCACGGCGCCCATCAATTTGGCCACCCGGGGGTTCCTTACTGGCCCGCAGTAGTGCCAGGAGGGGGCTGGAACCTCGGGGCGCCGTGGCCGCGAGGGGGGGGGGCGAGGGGGCGGGCGGGCCGCTCTCATCGTCATGGCAGCGTCGGCCCGGCATGCTCCGCGGGGCCGGGGTGAGGCTGTTGAGGCCCCGCCCCCTGTCGGAGCCGGTCCTTTTTTCCGGAAGGCGGAGGGTAGGCTGTGGCCTTGGGTCCCCAGCGGTGCGGCCATTGCTTGTGCGGCTCCAGGGCCGGGCACGTGCCTCTATAGCATCCCCTCCTCCTCTGGATGTTTGGGGATCGTAGTGAGATCTTGTGTGGGATGGCCTCGGGTAGTGGCTTCCGGAGGCCAGGATAATGGGAAGGCAAGACTCCCCACCTCAGCCCCTCGCTCCTGCTTCTGCAGGGCCTTTGAAAAGTTAAGGCTCTGGGCCTTCAGCTCTACCCTTTCCCCTGTCCTAGGGCTAGAGAAAGGAGGGCGCCAGCAGTGCACCCATTTCCAGGATTGGACCCTGCAGTTCTAGCTGGCTTCTTCCAACCAGGGAGCACAGCCTACCCTAGTTGGCAGCCGCTGGACTGCCTGGCCAGAAGGCACATTCCTATCTCCTGAGCCCAGGTACCCCGCCTGCCCTCGGGGCAGCCTCTTCCGGAACTTTGCTGCCAATTCAGCCCAGCCCTCTTGTCAGTGTTGCCCTCTCCCTCAGGCTTCTTGTGCCTTAAGTCCCCAACTGCTTTTTTCCCCTAGTCTATTAAGAGGCATAGGACTCAGCTGGCCTTTGTCCCTCCTACCTGTACTGGGCAGACAGCTAAATTTAATGTCGGTCTTTGGGTTTTGGCAGGAAGGCTATGTGTCTGTTGAGCAACTGTCCTCCAGCCTTTCTCAGCCTTACCCAGGGTACGAGCACCAGGGGTATGGCAGTGGATTTTGTTTGCAGCAGAATGAACTCAGGATTGATACCAGAAAGGCCTTTCCAATCCTAAGCATTTTATTTTTAGTAAGATCATCAGATTATTGATATGTTGATTGTAGAGAAGTCCAAGAATTGAAGAACAAGGCTGGTGCCCTGTAGTGGATGCTTGTAGTTGGAGCTACTTAGGGTGCTGAGGTGGGAGGATCACTTGAGCCCAGGAGTTCTGGACCAGCTTGAGCAACCTACCAAGACTCTGTCTCTTAAAAAATAAAAATAGGGCCAGGGATTTAGCTTAGTGGTGCTGCCTGCCTTGTAAACACAAGGTCCTAAGTTTGATCCCCAGTACCAAAAAAAAAAGTCTTAAAAAAAAAAAATAGATGAGCACAAGTAAGTAAAAATTCCCTATGATCCCACCACCAGGACTTAACAACTGTCAGCATATTTTCTGTGGATCTGATAAACAATTAATGATTAATAAATACAAAATCTGGAGTCATGCTATATATTTTGTTTGGTAAGGCCCTTGGTGTTTTAATAGCTTTTTCCTCTCACTATAAAAGGAGGAAAGGCTAATTACAGAACTTTTGGAAAATATGACAAGTTAAAAGGAAAAAAAACCGAGTCTCCAAAGGCAGCCACAGTGTTTCCTTCATCACCTGGGTTAGTGTTTAGTTTTGAATGATGGTACACCATCACTTCTGTATATACTATTTCAAATCCTGCTTTTCTCAATGCTATATAGTATGCTTCTTTGTTCCTGTCAGCTTGTGGAAGGCTTGAGAGTTGAAAACCTGTTCTTGGAGGAGCTTTAAAAAGTCAGATTTCAGGGGTGATTTATTGGACTGGGAGGTCACTTTCCAACTTTGGTAATCCTCTTTACCTGCAAACCCCCAAGGAATGGTTCCCCATTGCCACTAACCTCTAATAAGTGTCTTGGGGTGAGTGTCCTGCTTGCTGGGGGCCCAGGAGGCCACTTCGCTTGCACAGGGACCTGGAAGACTCGTGGCTGACCCAGCTGACCTAGCTGAGATGTGGACTCAGGCAAAGGGCATTGATCTGGCTCAGATGTGAAAGAGTTCAGGGAGGTCTCAGACATCAGCCTTATGGGGACCTGGCTGGCTCATCCACTCTCAGATCCAGAGGCCCCTTGTTGGTCCTGTGAAACACCTGCTATCCTGGATCCTCAGCTTCTAGCTAGAGGCATAGAGGCTGGCATCAGATGCAGTCTCCTCTGACCTGCTGCCCCCAAGCCTAGTACAAGCTGCCCTTGCCTCCACCACCACTGCTGCTGGGGCTTCCTCTTCTTTCCCTTTCCTGAACAGTTAGTTCATTTCTAACACATTCAAGCCCTATGTGAAAATTGGTTGCCAGAGATGGATTGGCATTTAAAAGGCATCCAAAACAAAGTGGGTGGGATGAGAGGATATGGAAAAGAGACAAAGGAATGTAGGGCCCTGTGTTTTGAGCAACAGCTGGATTTAGTAGATGGAAAAAATCACAGAAGGCCCTTATTTCTGGCACAGGGGTTCTGGGTGTGGCACCAGACACACCATGTCATGCCTGGTCACCGCATGCCACTACCACTGTGTGCTCTCAGAAATGAAAAGATGAGGGAGGTATATTGTCAGCCTGTAGCCAGTGTCCCTAAAAATTATATTCTCCTAACAGGTTTATTCATTTATCCAATATTTAAATCCTTTTCACTTTACCTATCTCAAGGAGACACCCAGATTGGGACCCAGATTGATGCTCTGAACATGGTTTATCTGGATTTGCTCTTGTGGGCTGGGCACTGCCTGTGTATAGAACTTCCCAAGTGACAAGATGGGTATGTGTTGGTACATGTTGGTTTGCTTAGGGGACTGTGTATGGTGTGTCTGTGTCAGTTTTTGGTGGGATGTATATGCAGGGATTGATGGCTGTTGTATGGTTGTTGTATTCAGGGACATGTGTCAGGTTTTCCATGTTGGTGTGTTCTGTGCCTGTGTGTGTGTGTGATTTCTGTTATGTGTGGCTGAATATTCATGTGTGTTAGTATATATGTATGTCTTGTGGGATGAGGACTGGTTCTTCACATGGAGATGGAGGAGGATGCTACCAGGATGGAACCCAGGGCCTCCTGCATGCTAGGTAAGTGCTTTACCCCAGCTTCCCACTTGCTTTTTATCAATGGCAGCCAATGGCCACTGGCTGAGTTGCCCTTTGCGGGCATCTGCTTTTCCACTGGGCCATGGGCACTGGGAGGAATGAGGTGCTGGTAAACCTTGGCCCTTTGACCCAGTATGCCTTGACCTAAGGTCCAGGAAGGACTGCTTTGGGGACTGAAGGAACACTGATAAGCCCTTTTGTCCAAGAGAGCTAGGTCTTTCTGCCTTGTGGTGTAGAGGGCAGAGAGAACTTGAAAGTCAAGGTAGTCCAGGCCCACCTTTCACAAATGGAGAAATTCAGTCAGGATGGCACACAGCCTGTTAGTGGCCAAGCCAGGTCCCTTATGCAGAGCATGGCTCCCATTCTGGTGCTCTGGGGTGGCTCATGCCTCTCTCTCTCCCATTTCCTCATCTGTCTTTGGCTCCTCACATATGAGCTTCAGACCAGACTTGAGCAGGACCACATTGGCCAAGGCACAAGGAAGGCTGAGATTTGTAACCAAAATGAGTCTAAGCAGGACTCAAGAACAGCCAGGAGCGATGGGAAAATCCCTGCTCTTCGGGGCCAAGTCGCAGGGCAGGGTCGGCTCTGCATTTGGGAGATTCCCTGTCCCAGAGAAGGCCCAGTGGGTGGAGAGGTTGCAGGTGGTCTTGTAACTGCCCTTGAGGTCTCCCTTAGTAGCTAATGCAGTGGTGGCGAACCTATGTCAATCGTGTCAGTAGGCACGCAGAGCCCTCTCTGTTGGTATGTGAGCCAAGTTGCCCTAGCATCACCCCAGCAGCTGAGCCTTCAGGTTTAATTGCAATGTTGGCACTTTGCAAAAAATAAGTGGGTTCTGGGTTGCAATTTTGCCATTGTCTCTAAAAGGTTCATCACCACTGAGCTAGTGTGTTATCACTACTTCCCTAAGGAGGCTGTCCAGCCCCCACCCCCATACCTTTGCAGACCATTAGGTAGCTCCAGAGTGGTCTGGCCCTTTGGTGAGAAGGGGCAGCTAGCCCCTCCCCTGTATGCATCCCCCAGGGCAGGTTGGCTGTGGAGCCGTCAAAGCCCCTGGGCCAGCTGTGAAAGAGCAGGGGGCTTGAGGCAGGAAAGCC